GTTAGCAACCAGAGCTCATAACCACTGCGCCACCAGGGCCCCCATGTAGCCCTAGCAGCAGCGAATCATCCTGGCTGAGGCAGGTGGTTCCAGCCTCTGGCTTCTTTTGGGACTCTCAGGACCAGTGTCATCAGGCAAAGTCCCTCCTCAGATGTTGGACGAATTTCTAGCTTTGCCAAACTCCTTCTCCCAGCTCCTGAGTTACCAGTTATAGCCGGGCAGCTCCTTCCCCTCAGAGGTCTGAGTTCCAGCTCGGCGGGGCCCCTCTTCTGAGCGCCTCTTCCCTTTTCTTCCCCCAGCCTTAGGGGTGATAGCTCCTTCCAACCAAGAAACCAAACTTGCTGTCATCAAGTCGATTCCGACTCATGGTGACCCTATAGGACAGAGTAGAACTGCCCCATAGGGTTTCCAAAGAGTGGCTGGTGGATTCGAATTACCAACCTTTTGGTTGGCAGCTGAGCTCTTAACCACTGCACCACCAGGGCTCCAGAGCTGCTTCCAGCAGTTACTATCTCAGGATTACCTCAGTGTCCCCCTTCAGCCCTTTGAGTCCACTAACACCATGCAATCGAATCCCTACATTAGATCCTCTTTGGTGAAATGCTTAGTTTTATATTTTCCTTGATTTGTCCTTAGATACTGATATTTAGGTTCTTTCCATTTTTTGCTATTAATAACAATACTGTGATAAGCATTTCTACACGTCTCTGAGTGCACATGGGAAAGCTTCCCTATACTGTGCACCCGGAAGTCAGACTGCTGGGCCACACCACGAGTCTCTTCAGCTTTGCTGGACAAAAGCGCTCCTCTCACTTCAGAGAAGTAGTTTTATTCTTCACTTTGTTCGTCATCACTTGCATTTCACCTCAGGGTACTATCAATGCCCCCTAGCCCCAGAGGGAACCCTGGTGGCGCAGTGGTTAAGAGCTCGGCTGCTAACCCAAAAGGTCAGCAGTTCAAATCCACCAGCCGCTCCTTGGAAACCCTATGGGGCAGTTCTACTCTGTCCTGTAGGGTTGCTCTGAGTCAGAACTGACTCGACGGCACCTAACAACAATGGCAGCCCCATAGGAGAAGGTACCTTGGTGCCCTGTTTGATAAAATCCTGGCAGAAGATTCTGAGATGGACCAGAGATTGCTTGACAAAGCGGTAAATCGACGGTTCACACTTTCTAACTTTGAGAGTTGGCAGCATCACATTTGTCGGCCAGTGCTTCAGCAGGAACGGACTTCTCTCTTTTTTTTTTTTTTTTTTTTTAAT